TATATGCAAATTAGTTACAAAACAAGGTAACAAGTGTAGCAAGGGGGCAGAAGACTGAAGATCATGGCCTAGAAGTAAAGATCACGGCCGAGATCCAGGACCGCAAGATCAAGCTGAAGATCGTGTCCTGTAATTCCAAGATCCCGACCGCGAATTGGAGGGCCAAGGCACGAACTTTGCGAAGAAGGAGCCGAGGAGAAACACAAAGTTCTCCCAGTCGAATCAAGGCCACAATGCATTTTGACCGCGAGGAATATCGTGGACGCAACTTGCGGATCGTGACCGTAAAGTCAGCCTGCGATCTCTGCAATCCCGACGGCCAGTACAACTGCATTTCAAGATCGCGGCCTCTCCTCTGTAGATCGCGCCCGCGATCTCTGCCCTTCTATTCGCAAACTTGTCCGTCCACTGATTTTCTATAAATAGGAGAAACATTTCCCCCTTTGAAGAGAGCTAATTTTGAGAGAAGAATTTATGGTTTTAGAGAGAGAGAGAGAAGAGAGAGAAGCTAAAGGAAGGAGAAGAGGAGAAGGAGCTAGAAGAGAGGAGGCATCTTCCTCAACCTCAAGTCTTCTTCAATTTCTTCTATGTATCTTCTTCCCTCCTTTATGGAGTAGTCCTCTAAGGTACTAGGGGTTATGAACTCCAAACCCTAGTTTTAGGGTTTACTATCTATGTATGTATGTATGAATATTTTAGGGTTTGAATGAATGAATGTGTTTATCTAGTTGATTATATTGCTATTCTATCTTTGATTGTGTTTGGGAAAGTCGTCCTAATCTTCTCTATTGGCCTACTTTACGCTTCTAAGCTGGATATGGAGTTCTAGGGTTAGATGGGTATGCGCCATCAAGCAAATCGAGGTAGATGTATGAATAGGGACCTATGGGGGTCGAGACGACCGAACTCCTGCTAGAGGTAGCCTTCCTATATAGAATCCGAGATATAACCTCGCTGTGGACGGTGGATAGTATCCATTGAAACGAGCTATGAGCTTAGTGCCCCAGATACGATAGCTTAGATCGAGGTGACTTTATATGGGTCTAGGGGAGGCATACTCGAAGTTGTGTGGATAACCACGAAAGTAAGCTAATAAAGAATCACAAGTGTAGGCTAATAGGTCAATATGTGCAAATTAGGTACAAAACAAGGTCACAAGTGTAGAGAGGGGCAATGATCAAAGATTGTGACCTAGAAGCCAAAGATCATGACCGGGATCTCCAATTATAAAGTCTCGCTGAAGATCATGGCCTAGAAGCCAAAGATCGCGACCGCGACCTTGGAGCCCCAGGGCGTGAACTTCGCGAGGAAGGATTCATGGATGAGCACAGACTTTCCCCAATTGAATCACGGCGAACTTGCAAAATGCCCGCGAGGAAAATCACAACCACGACTCAAGGATCGCGACCGCGAAGTAAGGCCTCGATCTCTCCCGTTCTTAAGGCCTCGACGACAACATTTTGAGATCATGGCCCAGTGACCAATGATCACAGCCGCGATCTACCTGCCTCAGGCCGCGATCTCCCTGCCTCAGGGCGCAAACTTCCCCGAAGCCAAGTTACTATAAATAGAAGACCCCTTCCCCCTTTTCAAGTGAGTTGACTTTGGGTGAAATTTCTGGTTCTAGAGAGAAGAAGAGAGAGAAGCTGAAGGGAGAAGAAGAAGGAGCTAGTAGCAAGGAGGCATCTTCTACCCCCAAGTATTCTTCTATTTCTACCATGTATCTTCTTCCCTCCTTTATGGAGTAGTCCTCTAAGGTACTAGGGTTTCTAAACCCCAAACCCTACTTTTAGGGTTTATGATGTATGTATGAATATTTTAGCGTTTGAATGAATGAATGTGTTTGTCTAGTTTATTTTTAATGTCACTCGTTAGTAAATGATGACGCTTGGGTAAGTCACCCTAATCTTCCCTATTAGCCTACTTTATGCTACCGCGTTGGGTAAGGAGCTCTAGGATTAGACGGGTATGCGCCAGCTGGCGAGTTTAGGTAAGATGTGTGAATGGGGGCCTATAGTGGTTGAGGCGACCGAACCCCTACTATAGGTAGCCTTCCTAGATGGAACCCGGGATGAAACCTCGGTGTGGACGGTGGATAGTGTGCATTGAAATGAGCCATAAGGTTAAGGACCTAGATCGAGGTGACTCAAACATGGGTTTAGACAAGGCGTACTCGGAGGCGTGTGGATAACGACGAAGGCCCACAGAAAAGAGCTCACTCACCAAATTCGATAACCCTAAGTATCTATACATGCATAGTATCCCTAAGTTAGGGGGAGGATTAGTTCCCAGAAGTACATGCTTTTAGCTTTGATCAACCTCTGGACTAGTATTTCCTCATATCCTCCACTCAAAACCTCAAAAACCGATTACCTAATTAACAACAAGGTAGGAAGTAGGCTAGGGTACCAGGACCCGAGTAGAATACGACCTTGATTACTACAATATAACAATTCCGTCCTAGGTTAAATTTTGCTTAGGATGGGATAGTTGTTGATACGTGCAAACCACTGACAATAACATGCACAGATTCAAGTGATCAACAATAATCTGCACCTACTCAAGTGATCTCCCTACAAGCTTTTGACTTCTCATCTTACTTTGAATCAATGAGTCTAGGGAATGCCATTCATTCTAGGGAGCAATGCGTCAAATGCGCGTTTCTACGTAGAAGCGTTTTGATGATCTAGAAGCATAAAACCGTAAACTTTTAAGATTTAAAGCACGTTTTTAAATACATTAGTTACAAAAACTATGATTCTGCGTAGAAAGTTTTGGTGACCTAGAAGTAAGTTTTTAAGCTTTAAAGCGTGATTTTGACTACATTGCTAGGGATGATATTGTTGTGACTATGAACGATGCGGTAGTCAATGGGATATAATGAAAATTCGATGTTTCTGAATGTTATACTGTTTCATATATTCAAAGATTTCTAACGATGCAAAAGACTCATGTTTTCAAAGGGTGAACTGTATTTTTAGAAAAATGCAAAAAATCCTACACATCAAGACATTGTTTTCATTCAAAAATTTGCCATGTTATGTTGAGAATAAAGTGTGGGGTAAGCCCAACATGTTAGGGATCTTTTCATTGCACTAAATCAGGTTTTGGAGGAGATCATACTAGTTGAGATTTAGTGGGTAAGTACTACAAGGTGATGCTAGTTCCTCTCTGGTACAAGTAAAATTTACACTTGTTGAATTGATTGCCAACTTGAGGATGTGTTCTTATGACAGGGATAAAACTTCTGATACCCCTTAATTTCATCGATCGTTCACCCGAGTTTAGGTAAAGGAACTTCAAAATTCTTGCTCGACCAATTAGGATAAAGGTATAAAGAGCTCTCCACCACAAGAAAAGGTTAGAAAATAAAAAATAAATAAGATATAGTGTTTGCAAAGGAGATGAAATTCGAAAAAGATAAAAAGAGTTTGTGTTTGAGTAAGACAAAGTGCTTCAAAGAAATGTGAAGTTGATAGTAGAAAGCATTCAAAGCTTAAATATTTATCAAAAGTTTAACCCTTATGTTTTGGACTCTAATGCATGGTTAGTAGTTGATGCTTGGATTAAGTTGTATGATTTTTCCATATTAATGTGGTTAGGAGTCTCTTATGCTATTGTTGACCTTGAAACTTACTTATGATCCACTATCTAAAATCGAGATTGAGTGATGTTATTTGGCCTTCATTGAGTTGTATGATTATGAGTAGTGTTTGCTTGGGGACAAACAAAGTTCAAATGTGGGGTATTTCTGATAACACTCAATTTATAGTATTTTCACTCCCATATTTGATACATTTTCCCCTTATATGAATGCATCTTTAATAGTTTTTATGGTATTTCATATGAAATTCATAACTATTTAATTTATGAGATTATGATAGACCTTGACTGTGTTTCTTTACTATTTGTTACCTTTATGACATTGTTTTGTGCTTTTCAAGATTATAAACCACTCAAGATGAATATGGATCATCAAGGAACCCAAAGGATCTAAAGGAAGAGGAGAATACAAACCCACAGGTCTCACATAGATGGATTTGGAAACCAGATGTTCACTTTATTGCCAAAACAAGCAAATATGGCAATGCAACAGAATCCTCTGCCTTCTCTCTAGATAATCTTTCCACAACTCCGTCAAGGGTTGTCACCAACATTAAATCCTCTCCTACACTGCTCATAATAGTGGTTTAGATTCATATGATAATTATTTCAGGGGAGGACTCTAGAAGTAACGCGATAAAAAGATGAACTTATGTCAAAACTTTGTATTGCACTACCTAGATGTTGACATATGAATGTTCCTTAAATCTCATAGAAAATAGTAAAGTGATTTTTTGCAGTTGTCAAAACATGAATGTTCTTACTTTCTAGGTGGCATTCTATAGTTGCATGCCTTGACAATATGACCTATATTTACATGTATCACTATGTAAAATGGCTCTTTTAGGTAATAAAAATGTTAGATGAGTAATCAACAACATTTAAACCTCCATGTAATTTATTGGGTTTTATGAGTTGAGTAATTGTTGTTGGGTCTTATGTTTGAATGCTTCTTTAATCAAACTTGAAGGTATTATATTACTATGTACTTGTGTTGGTTTTAAGTTGGTTATGAATTGATAACTATGTGAATAATTTTTTATTCAATGTTGAAAACGTAAAACACACATGCATATGCAGAATAAATCTACAAAAATGTACCGTTGAAAAAAGAAGAAAAAAGAAAAAAGGAGGCCTTATGTGTGTTAGGTTAGCAATCGGTTAATTTGGTCTAACTTTGCCGAATTACTTGATTAATGGCTATGTGGTTAATTGAAAAAATAACCGATAACCGAAATACGGTTACCATGAATCAACTAGTATGATTATATGATTAAAGATAAACACAAATTGTTTAACGGTTAACTGATAATTGAGTGAAAGGTTACATTTATAACCGAACCCACAAACACCGGTTATTGCTTTCTATTTGAATTTTATTATGCAACTATATCATAGTAATTTGATCGACTTTATCGGATCTCCTGAAGGGACCAGTAACTTGATCGATTGGTTGCTACACCAACCGGCTAACTTGTCCGGAGAAAAGAGAGGAAAGATGTCTACATGACGTAGTAAGCGCGTCCAAAGTGTCCTTCCCCTGCTGCATAGGCGAATCAATCACGTCGCGCTAGCTTACAATTGCAAAACGCCATAACCAATTACCAACCAAGCAGATCAAAGCAGGAAACAACTCTCAATGCTAGTGCTCATACCAAATTTTTTCAACTTTAATACACTTTCTAGGGAAAAAAAAGTCTGATTTTCAAACTCCCCTCTCAACTAACTACTATACTACCACTTTATATAAAAGCCACCATTACATTGTCCAAATCATTGACTAAAAGTAGCATATGTACAATTGCAGCAACTACCGATATTTCCCTCTAGGCCTGTCTTTTAACAAACCCCTTAAGGCAACTTCGCCATATAGACTTTCCTCTGCAGACTAATTTCATATATCAAGGTTTTCATATATCAGTATAATTCCTCACCTATCTACACTCACATGAATTGAACACATGAGTGACTTCACACACGGCTTCTTCCCATGTCCTTCCCTTCATCATCATCACCTGTTATCGAAATTGAAATGTGATCTCCTCCATTACTATCCCCTTTACCATCTTCGGTCCTCTCATCTCTTTCCCTGTCGTCCACATCAATGAGATCCTCCACTTCCTCTGGCTCTTCCTCATCTGTTCTGTCCTGATCACGCCCGTCCACCTCATCATCCCCACCACCGTTGCCGCCGCCATGTGTTCCTTCTTCATCAATCTCATCACCTTTCACTTCATCCATGTCCTCATCCATCTCGCCCTTAACACCATTTCCATTCACGGTCTCAGTACTACTAACAATCGGGCGGATTAAGTCCTTCCTGCCGAGTCTGAACAGAATCTCCTGCTCCTCCTCTGTTTCCTCTGTCGGTAGACCGCCTAGTCCATTCTCGTCCAGAGCCGCCTTCTTGTCGTAGGAGTGTTTCAGCTGGTAAATCAGCCAAACCGATACCACCAGCAGAAGAAAAGCCTGCAAAACGTGCTTTACCTTAAACCCTTTCGAGTTCTTTGTCCTACTCCCAACCGGCGACTGCTTCATTGACATGTGCCCAAACCCTCCTTGAAACGGTTCCAATAATCAAAAACCATAAGAACCCATCACAGAATTTTCAATTGGGAAGATACCCACATGACGAAAATGGAAGAACAAGTTAAAAAGTCGCAAACTTTGATGAAAAGGAGGTGGATATAAACTGGGAAAATACCTTAAACCGAATTTGTGGTAGTCTGTAGATCTGTGATTTGGGTGAGAGCAGTAGTGGCAAGTATGAAAGGGAGTGTACGAGAGGAAAAGTGGGGAAAAGGCGTGAGAATTGCGGGGGTTTATTATGATGGTGAAGAAGGGAGACTGTAATATAGTTTTGAGTGCTGCAGGGGAGAAAACAGAGGCAGAGGGCATTTAGTGCGGATTTGAGAGAGTCGGTGGGTTTGAAGAAGCAGATGAGAAGAGAAGGTGATGATGGTCCAGAATCCAGAGAGAGAAAGAGAGGAGAGGGGAGGGGAAGAACAGAAGGGAAAGGATTAATGACAGTGGGACAAGGGGTAGGGTCTAAACAGAGTACAGTAGCGTCGGCATGTGGTCTCTTCTGGGCAAATGGCATCCCTCTATAGGCGCTGAAGTTCTTTCTTTCCTCAAGAGAACGACGGCGTTTCCATCCACGCAGAAGATGACGCTTTCATTTGTTTTGGCCTTAACCGAGAATGGACTGGTGGTGTCTGGCTCCAGTAAGCAAACTTTGAGCACGAAACGCCTCAGTTTGTGCTCTGTTTAATAGCAGAAAGCAATTTCCACAAATATAACAATTCTTTCCTCAGATAACGTTCAGAGAAGAATTACAACAAGGAACTAAGGATTTATAGGTGGTGTGAATGTAAATGATGTAAACTGCATCATAATCTTGTGAAGCGTGTACTTATGCTGTTTTAGTTAGATGAATATAGCAGTGACTAGTTAATTTTTTTGTTTTTTTTTCCGGTAATTATCTCATCTCATTAAGCTCACTTGATCAAAATCAAGTCGCACAAAAACTTAGATGTACATCTTACTAACAAAGCAGCACAAAACTCAAAATTGAAGATGCAAACTGCCTATCACTCTACTACGCATCAAAGCCTCTCGAAATCTCAGGTCTCCATGCGCCAAAAGCAAAATTTCTTCCCTCATTTGCAGAAGAACAACCTCCCAAAGTCTTGGACTCCCCCCAAACACACGTTTACATCTCTCTTTCCACACCAAACTACAAATCCAGCACCATATCGCACTCAACACCGGGCCATCTCGACTATTTCTAGCCAGCAGACTCATATCCTGCAACAACTGCTCCCAACTAGTCCCCCAACTGGTCAACAAAGAACCAAACACTGTCCTCATCAAGTAACCAGTGTACTCACATCTACAGAATAAATGACAATGGCTCTCCTCCTCATTTTCACAAAGCACACAAGTAGCATCAGCAATCTTTCCCCACTGCTTCAGTTTATCCCGGGTCACAATACGTTTTAGTATAATGAGCCACATTAAAACTCTATTGCGAGGTAATGTATACTTACCCCAAATTACCTTCCACCAAGGAACAACCGGCTTCTGCACTCTGATAGACTCCCAGACTTGCTGGACCGAGAATTTTTTCATAATCTTCCCTTCCCAGAAAACCTCATGCTGCATATTAGACTCAATTCTGTACTGGTACCATCCTCGCATTTTCAACAACTGTTTCCACAACCATGAGCCAGACATAGTAGGCTGTAGTTCCCAAATAGATCGGGCTTTCAGCCTGTACTTGCTCACCCATGCTACCCAAAAGCTCCCCCCTGTATAAACAACAACCACAGGAGATGAGCAATACAAGCCACATTCCACGTTCTCAAATCTCTTAGCCCCATACCCCCTTCTTTCTTTGGAGTAGCCAGTATTTCCCATGCCACTTTTGCCTTACCTGTCCCTTCCCCATGCCATAAGAAATCAGAACATATCTTCTGAATGCTTACAATGATAGATTTAGGCAGCACAAAAATGGCCATCCAATATTGACATAAAGAGTAAAGCACAGAAGAAATCAACTGCAGACGACCTGCATACGACAGCTTACTAGCCCTCCATGCTCGGATTCTGCTTGTCAATCTATCCACCAGAACAACACATTCTTTACTTGTCAATTTCCTAGAAGTCAGAGGCACCCTAAGGTACCTAACAGGCAGTCTACCCTCTGTAAATCCAGTAGCCATGATCGCATTCTCCTTATACTGTATAGCTTGTCCCCCAAAAAAGACCTCACACTTCTGTGGATTACACTTCAGACCAGACAACCAATAAAATTCATCTAAAAGATTTTTGACTTGTACTAAAGCCCTCATCGATCCCTCAGTAAAAATGAGCAAATCATCTGCGAAGCACAGATGTGTTAACCTTAACTCCTTATACTGAGGATGATAAGGAAACTTACCCTCAATTGCTGCAGCATCTAACATCCCTGTCAACGGTTCAAGAGCAATTGTAAACAAATATGGGGAGATCGGATCCCCTTGCCTAACCCCTTTCTGAGCAGCAAAATGTCCAAAAAGAGAGCCAAACAAACTGATACTGAAGAATGCAGTACCTAAGCAAGCTTTAATCCAACCAGTGAAAGTCTCAGGGAAATTCATCGCTTCCATAACCATAAACAAGTAATTCCAATCAACGGAGTCAAATGCTTTCTGTAAATCAATCTTAACTGCACTACGAGAAGCCAACTTCCTGTTGTGATAGCTCTGAACCATTTCCTGAGCCATCAGGATGTTATCAATTATACTTCTTCCCCTTATAAAAGCAGTCTGATTGAGGCTAATGACACTAGGAAGTACTTGCTGAATCCTATTAGCCAAAACCTTCGAGATAATCTTATAGAAGATGTTAATACAAGCAATAGGTCGAAAAGCAGTCAATCTATCCGCATTCAAAGTCTTAGGAGCTAGAGTAAGGGAGGCTGTATTCATACCTCGAGGAAGCTCATTTGTACAGAAAAATACTCGGATCCCAGCTGTCACATTTGAACCAATTGTATCCCAACTCTTCTGATAAAAGCTAACAGACCACCCATCAGGACCAGAAGCTTTATTAGGGTCCATGGAAAATAATGCTACTCGAACTTCAGTCTCAGTCACCTGCTCACTCAACAATTTTTGTTATGTACTTGACAGAATCTTCGTCACAAACCGCTTAATTGTAGCAAACTGAGGGTTAATATCCTTATTTGGTTCACCATAGAGCTGTTTGTAAAACCCTACTGCTGCATCAGCAATCTGTACTTGCTCAGTTATAACCTGACCTGACTCCAGAACTAACTGTCCAATCTGCTTCCTTGCATTTCTAATCTTGACAGACTTATGGAAAAAAGCAGAATTTGAATCTCCCAAAACCAAGCCCTGAATTCTTGATTTTTGGTGATAGAAACTCTCCTCAGCCTGCTGCAATTGGTGATACTGAGCTGTTGCTTGTTTTTCTGCTTCATAACTATCACCTGATGGACACTCAAGGGCCAATAGCTGCTTACTCCTCATCTCAATCTCAGCCCCTTTGACTCTGCTAGAAATATCTGAAAACTCATCCTTGTTTAGCTTCTTTAGTTCCTGTTTCAATAGCATCATCTTCCTCTTGAACTTCTTCAAAGGGGAGCCCCAACATTGACTACTCCAGCATCGCCTCAAAACCTCCCAGTATTTATCATGCTCCATCCACATGTTAAAAAATCTAAAAGGTTTAGGAAACGATTTCCTTATTACTCTCGGAATCATCAAAATCCCACAGTGATCAGAGAAGAGAGGTGCTAAAAATTCCACTGTAGAATCTGACTTTTTATCCAACCAATCCTCATTAACCAAAAGTCTATCTAATTTCCTAGCAATCGGGTTACCTTGCTGACGATTAGACCAGGTGAAAAAAGGTCCTGAAGCTTGATGATCCACAAGATCCATCTCCTCAACCCAGTCTCGAAAAGCCAACATACTGCTCGTAATGGATATCTCATTTGATGCTTCCATAGGGTTCAGAACGGCATTAAAATCCCCTCCAATAGCCCAAGGAAATCCTGTCACCCTCCATCTACATAATTCCCTATATGTACTAAGTCTTTCCCCTTCATCATTAGAACCATAAACCACTGTTAAGAAAAACTACTCTGTTTTTGTAATCGACACCAAAGCATGGATAAAAAAGGCACTGCTAGCAAGTATTCTCAATTGCACTCCAGACTTCCATGCCAGCCAGATTCTACCCAACTTATTGTAAACATAGTTTTCTGCAAACTGGAAATCCACAAATTTCTCTTGTATCTGCTTTGCATTACTCTCCTGTACTCTAGTTTCAAGTATTGCCAGGACTACTACTCCTAATCTACGCACACACTCCATCACAGAGCTGTGCTTCGAGGGGCGATTAAACCCCCTCGCATTCCAGATGAGAACAGTCATTTCAGTAAAGGAGGTACTAGAAGTACCCCTTTCTGACTTCTTAGCCCCTCTCTACTCGGCTTAGCAGGTGGTTTCTGCAATTCAATTCCTCTAGCACAAATAGCTGCAAACGAATTGGACAGCTGGATAGGAGAGACAAGTTCTTTACTCTTCTGCTTACCCCCATTCACCACCAAATTGAACTCCTCATTTGAAGGCAGTGCACTAGGCGTGACTGGAGGCGTGACTGCAAGTCCTCAACCACCTCTGCCCCAATAGCTGCAGCCAGTTGAACCTCCAAAGAAGAAGCCTCCTGACTCAAAACCTCAGGCAAGCTTACTGTATGATTCTGCTTCTTTCTCCAAACTTTCCTTGTTTCACCCTGCGGGACAGCACAATTATGCCCAAAGACACTACAAGTATTGCACACAGCAGGTACATGACAATACTCCACACTGATGAACATTTCCTTCATAGAATCCGGAGTTATGCTGATCTTCGATGGCCATGTTGTCTTTGCACTCATCTCAACACAGATCTTCGCAGCTCCAACTTTGTGTCCAAATCGCGTCGGTTGATCCATACAAAGAGGCTTACCAAGCACACTAGCCACTCGACCCAACCCCTCCTTCGACGAAAGCTCCCCAAGCAGCCCAGACAGCTTCACCCAAATCGGCACCGCCTTATTATCGACCTCCAGCGCCTGGATTCCTGGCACCCACTTCCTTACACATAGCAGATTATCCTTATAGTGCCAGGGTCCTCCCTCAAATACCCATCGACAAACCTTCGCCGACAGGAATTGTAAAAGAACTAAACGATCTTTAAACCATGATACCCGAATTTCCCCCTCCTTCCCCCACAACCAATTTGCCCAAAAAACGAATCGTTGCTAGGGATGGTGGAGATCGAAGGAATTGGCCTACCAAACAGTTGTCGAAGCGTTTAGCCCCCTCCTCCATGACGGATTTAGGGATTCTGAGCGACCCATCAACGATTTCCGGCTCAAAATACTGCAGTTGGTTGTCAGCAGATGCGCCAAACAGAGAAGCCCACGAGCGACCGCCGGCGCCAGATGAGGCTCCGTCAGCGACGGCCGCCATCAGCAAATCGGAACTCGACGACTCGATCAGAGAAAAGAGAGAGAGAGAAAAGAAGGAGTTGTTTCATGGTAATTTTTTTTGTTTCGTATATAAAATAAATAAATGGTGTTATGTATAAAGAGCACTAATCTTTTCTAAAACAATATACATACAATTAAAGAAATTGACATTTTGCGATTTAAATCGTTCGAGCTATTGTAGTATTTAAATAAATTATATTATTTTTTAGATGAAGTATAATTTTTATTCCTTGATTTTAATATAACAAGTTGCATATACAAAATGTTAGAGATATAGTTGACAAAAACAAACATAACAATCTCACTCAAACTATCTCGACAATCTTATATAAAATGTAATATTTACAGATCATTTATTTTGAGTGATATTTTGTGTCGCATCATACAAACAACGCATTGTTTGTGAAAAAACAAACGAAGTATTATATACAATACAAACATTGTAACAATGTCAATCAAAAGTCTACAAAAATGATCTTGATAGATAGTTTACAAATTCATTGACTTGTTTAAATGAATGTACAAGTAATTGAAATTGCAAATTGTACAAGATGACTCACAGAACAAAAGATGTGATGATATAGCACACTACATGTGCATTAATATTGATGTAGAGTGTGCAGTTTATATTAGTTTAGTCAAATAACTATATGGGCAACATAAATTATAAATTGGAATAAGACAATTGACCAACATTTTGTTCGCAATATAAAACTGATGTCCAGAATTAAGCACACTTATGATGTACACCTTGAAGGAGATTAGGAGAATGTACAATTTAATTAAATGAACAAATGCAATGATACATTCTAAAAAAAAACATTTGTCCACTTTGTTATTAAGGTTGAGGATTCTGTTGTTTGTTAAAAAGTTTTTAGACGAGTTTTTTTTTAACGAGACATTTGTATAATGTTATCATTTTGTCCTTACATCTAATATGTTTTGTTTTCTTGTTTGCTATCCAAATAATTCTAATTATGAAAATAAAATCCATTATGCAATCAACATTTATCAATTATTTGGGTATCAACCTTATATAATAATACTACCTTTTGTTTTGAATTATTATTTTAATGTTAGCTTTCTTCACAAATTATAACTGTTAAAAACTATATCGTTTAAGACCAAACATAATCTATATTTGAAACCAATCTTCATATTAGTAAAAATTATTTTACTGAAAATAATTAAAAAGTATTAATGGAAAGTAATGTTTGAAAATGATTGGAAAGTATTGGGTTCACAAAGAAAAATAGAGAAGAGTTAATATTGGATATATAGAAGAAGAAAAAAAAAGACAGGGGTAAGATTGAGAACTAGTGACGGAAAAACGTACCATTTGCAATTGGATGGGTGAGTCATTTGCATATGACTTGTTTGAGTCATTCTGATGATATGAGTGATTTGCAATTGACTCGTTTTGTTTTCGTTGACAAACGAGTCATTTGATACTAAATGATATGTACAAATAACTTGTACAAATGATTCGAAGATAAAACCTAGAATATGAACTCTATTTATAACAAATTGAAAGGCTAAAATTCACACACTTGTGGCTACAAGGATCGCTGCTACAACAATCCACCTACCAAAGGACAAGGGTAATAATCAGTCAACAAAATTTATAGGCCAAAGTATCCCCCAGGTTCCGCCGGTTTGAACACTTTAATCAGGCTTTGTTAGCTAAAATTGGTTGGTGTATTCTCTCCGAACCCCAGTCTCTTCTGGACCAAGTCTACAAAGGCAAGTACTTTCCTACTGGGTCGTTCCTGCAGGCTAATCCACGTTCTAGGCCTTCCTGGGGGTGGCAAAGTATCTTGTAGAAAAGTATCTTGTATGGGAGACGGCTGTTGGAGGCAGGTCTTCGCTGGCAAATTGGAAATGGCAAGACGGCCTCCCTCCTTCACTCTAACTGGATACCTCAGTTCCAGCTCGATCCTCTTTATTATAATCCGCAGATCTTACCAGAGGGGGGTGACCCAAAGGTTGCTGAGGTAATTCTCCAAGGGGAGGGGTGTTGGTGTGCTCCTAAGCTGAGGCAATGGTTTGATCCGCCTACGTGTCGGGCCATTGAAGCTATTCCTCTTCCGCGTCGGAATGTGGAGGATAGGATAATCTGGCATGACACAAAGGATGGGGTCTTCACGGTCAAATCTGCTTATCATCTGGCTGTGTCTCTGGATAGGAGGAATGGGAGGTGGAAGGCAATGGCAAGTTGGATGGATAGGGCTAGTTGGATCCGGTTATGGAATGCTAATATCCCTCCTAAATTAAAAGTTTTTGTCTGGCAAATCCTCACTCGGACCCTTCCTACCACGGAGGCCCTGATAGAGAAGCAGATTCCAGTTGCTCCTCGTTGTCCGGTGTGCGCGTTCGGAGACGCTAGAACATCTTTTACTCTATTGCCCGGTAGCACGGGCCCTGTGGGACTACTCGGGGTTGGACTATCTGGGGGAGGGGTTGCCTCGGCACACTTTTCCATTGTTTCTTAGGAGACTCCTGGGCTTGATTGAGCAACCCACGCTGTTCATGGCTGTTGTAGCAGTTCTGTGGAGAATATGGCGTTCCCGTAATTGGGTTGTTTTTGAAGGGAAACAGTTTAGTTTCCCCGCATTGATGCGCCAGTTTCACCAGCAACATGACGAGTGGATGTCTTTGCCACCTGCTGACCTTCCACGTGGTGCTGGTCCGCAGGCCTCCCCGGTCCTCACTCCAGATGGGGCGGATAGGGTTATTTGTATGTGGGATGGGGCAACTAGGAGGGGATCTCATGCGGCAGGGGGGATTGTTCTTTTGACTCCTAGGCGGGAGGTCCTGTTGGTTAAAGGTGTCCAGTTCTCAGGGATAGATGAGCCGTTGGTGGTGGAATTACTTGTGCTCCGGGATGCGATTCTGTGGTGTTTGGAGCTTGGCTATTCGAGTGTCGTGTTTGAAGGGGATGCCAAGGTGATCATTGATAAAATTAACCAGGCAAATGTTCGAGACAATCAGACGGGGGCGGTTCTTGAAGAGGTTTTGCAGTATTTTAGTCCCCCTTCTGCGTTTGCGGTTCGATTTGTAGGTCGGCGTTGCAATAGGGTAGCCCACTTGGTGGCTCGTAAGGCCCTTTCTTTGTACCCGAGTACGAGTCGGTTTTTTGATTTCCAGACCTGGCTGGTTTCCAGGATGTAACTATCTCTTCGTTGAATTCAATATATGATTATCTTTTGTAAAAAAAAAAAAAATTCTTTTGACCACTGTTTCTAACCTCTACCAAATTGCAACATTTGTTAGGTGGTCTGTTAATGCAGGTGGCTATTGTTGGGTAGTTACACAGTTAATTAAGGAGAAAACAATAGCAACTCCAACTCCAACTCCAAACCACGCTTCCTTTTTTTCGCTTGCAGACATATTGTCTGCTGGGGGATCAAGCAAAGGAGAGTCACTAACTATAAGAAAGCAAACAAAAACAACCCCACATTGTCATTCGAATTGAGAGCCCAGTTGCTGTTTTCTTCTGCCTCGTATCCTCTTTCTTTAATTTCCTGCCTATTTCGACAGGCCAGAAATGAGTGAGGCTCGTTTAATGCACGAATCTGCCACCAATAATTAAAGTCCAGAATTGGACCCGACGGTGAAATTCCCAAGCGCCACTTCCCCCTTCCCAGCTCCTCTGGCCGTCTGTCTGCCTTGCTGGAAGGAATTCCACTCGTTTGGCTCACAATTTTTCTGACCGGTGAGATTAGAAATGAAATCTCTTGTTCAAAAAAATTCGATACTTTAAATGTGAAATTTAGGCGAAATAATATTATGCGGTTCTGGATATGGATTTTTTTCATGGGTCATGGAATGCCGTTCCGTTAAATTTTGTTGAATCAATTTTGATTATGAAATCAGCATAAACTTTATCGGTAGGTGTAGACACCTAAAATTAATATGGCATGAATTAAATGTCGCATTAATTAGCCTGGACATTTAATTCGATACCGTGGATAGAGTTGAGTGGTATCGCTTAGATTTAAAACGATACCGCGAAACAAAAAAACGACACCGCAAGGAAGCTAAGCGGTGTCGCGGCACTGGAAACGATACCGAAAAATAAAAGGGGGGCCGCGCTTGTAGTTGGGTGTTGGAGAATGGAGTTTTTTCTAATTAATTATTACCTTTATTCCTTGTCGGAAGGGGAAAATCGATGCCGCATGGAGACAAGCGGCATCGCGGAGAGTTAAAACTGTACCGCGGATTTAAAAACGATGCCACGAGAGCCTGATAAGTGGTACCGATTAATTAAAAACCATACCGGGTAAGTGACCAAAATTCGCCCAGCCCAATGCGAGTGCATACCGCGCGGCGGTTCCATGGATTGATATTTTTTTGGCTATATTAGCAGTGTCGTTTAATTAAAAGAAGGTACCGCGAGTAAG